CTTTCCTAACGGGGGGTAGGTGTGTGTGTGTGTGTGTGTGTGTGTGTGTGTGTTTCTAAAGAGGGAGGGAGGGAAAACAGGAAACAGCCCCCAACCCTAAAACTATAATTCTCTTCTTCTGTTGTCCAGGGCTTGAATTTGAAAAGTTTTATGGGGTTAAAAATAGCCTCAACCACATGAATGGTCTTTGGCTTTCTGTACAAAGGGTTTATTTTACACATGATAAACTTTCCTTGTCATTCTTTGTTCTAAGAGGAAGAATTAGTCAAAGTTATTTCTTGGGTTTATTAAAAAGCTTTGTGGCCTTCTTGCAAGGGCTTGAAAAATGACTGCAACTTGCTACTGTTTAGTCATTTTGATAAGCGTGTGTGTGTGGGGGTGAGAGAGAGAGAAAGTAGAACACCTGGATAGATAGTAGTTTTGACCCTAATTCTGCAACTAACTACAGGTGGCTCTTTATTGAAATTAATGACTATTTGTAGCTGGACCGCTGCATGTGTCTGCAGTGTAAGTTGCAGGATCAGAGCTTTATTCTGTAGTTCTGGAAATTGCTTTCTTACTGGAGCAATGAATTTGGTTCTCTTGTCTCATCAAAGACAAGGCTAATCAGGTTGATGATGGGCAGCAAAGGGAGAAACCTCTTTCCTCATCTTAAATTCCTTTTGTTCCACATTCCTCCTCGGTATAGATAAGTTTTAGAGGGCTTGCATGGTGTGCCTATGCAATACAGATCAAACAGGTAATTAATGGTTATGTACATATTTTGTCTAAATATACAGAATAAGTGAAGTCATTAATATTTGTCAGCCTGTCCACTGTCACTTCCTAAATGGTAGAGGAATTTACTAGCATTATTACAGTATATGGGGACATATGCAATGACATTGATACATGGAAGCTTCAGACGATTGACATTTTACAACTGGCTAGGTGCAGAGGCTAGCCATCAATAGGATGTGTAAATTACGGCAGTCTACCATCTGCTGGACTGACAAAGAATAAAGAGAGACAAAAAACTCCTACTGGAGTTGAGATCATAGGGCTTTAGTGTGAAAAGTTGCATGGCACTCACGGCTGTAGAATTAAATTACTTTTCTTCTAATATGTATATTCACCATTTACATAATACAGAGATTTTGTAAATTTTCTCCATTCTTGTTGTCGTTTAACAAAACTACCAATCTTCTGGTCACTCGGGTCTGTATTTGAGGATATCTGCTTTTTTTTTCTGAAAATTTTGAAACAATGCTGTTTTCTACTGGTTACATTAGAAAGTAATAAAAACACAAATGTATTCTGGGAGATCTGAACATCCTAAGTAGATGTAAATACAGTGAGTGTGTGTGATTAAAAGAAATGGAACAAGTCTTAACATCTAAAGACTGATATTACAAAAATTGGGGGAAAACATGAGATCTCATTCTAGACTGATTTTAATTTGACTGGGCTGGCTAACTTGGGGTGAGGGGGAACCTTTTCAAACAAATGTAAAACTTGATGCATTCAAAAACATACGTTTCAGCTGCTCAAAAGTATATGAATGAGTACTGTTACGGTGCGTGCACTATTTTTAACACTGATTTTTTTGGCAGATGAGCAGTTTGTATGTGGCTTTTTGCATATCTGTATATTGCTATTTGCATTCCATCCCTTTGTTCTTCTAAACCACTTCCTTTCCAGCAGTTCCAAAAATATTATGTAGAAACAGTAACTGATTTTAAGCTTAAGGTTGGTAAAACAGCATATTTGTCTACACGGGAGTCCTAAGTCAAAGACTCACTTTGAAGTAGAGACTGGGGGAACAGAGCGTATATTTGACCTATCCTGCTTCTGTAAGGCAAGATGAAGAAGAAATTCATAGTAGTCAGTTATAAAATAGCATTTTAACTGGAGGATTGTATGCTTAATTTTTTCTGTAGGTCAAGCTCAATGCACATACCCAAGGCTCCCTGTATTCCTTTGTTTGCCCCCACCCAACTCCTTGTGTTCCATCCTCCCATCACCACCTATTTCAGGGGCTCCTTGCAACCCCTCCCGCACCCTCTCTCATGCTAGGGACTCTATGAATGCCATCATTCTCCCCTGATGCAATAGGCCCTTTGTATGCCCCCATTCTCTCTTCCCATGCCTGGGCTGCTGTGTGCTCCCCTTTCTCCATACCATTCTTATTTTCTTTATCTTTCATGGTGTCAACATTTTAAAATTGTATTGGGAGTGTGGGCACAGCCTAACCCCCCCCCCCCCCAATAACTTTGACAAAAACAGAACAATTTTTATCTAAATTTTCAACTGAAAATTTTGACTTGCAGCAGAAATTTGAAAACTTAAAAATGTTGTCCAGAAACCGAAGACATTTGTTTTGGGGGCATTTTATTTTTTCAATTAAAAAAACAAAAACAAAATTTTCCTCAGAAAGCACACACTTTTTATGGGAAACTTTGTTTAGTTGAAAATCTAGTTTTCTGTTAAAAACAGGTTGGATGGAAATTTTTTTTGACTAGGCCTAATTCCCAGTTCCTACTGCCATCCTGTGTGAAGCAGAACTGCGTAACTATGTTTTCTACTTTTTGCAGGGTTGTGATTTGGGAATCGTTCTTCAACTGTAACATTTCTGGGTACATATGGGGAACACTTTTGGGTGTTTCTCACATTTGAGTTTGGTTTCTGAAGCCCCATAGTCTGTAAAGGAACAGGGAGAGCAGGATTGTTGAGTGGCAATAACCTGAATTTAGTTCTTTGTAAGAAAATATATTTTTCAAACAGTGGTGTTACCTTGGGGAACAATCTTGGGGAAACTCCTTTCATGTTGAAAACTGACCACTTTGTCCTCTGTTCTCTCTCTCTCAACTGGTTTCTTGTCCATGATAGTGCTTTAACTCTCATCCCATGTCTGTTAAGTTCCTTAATTGCCTTTGGTGAGAGACAAGGATTTGAGAATCCAAATAGCCAACTAATTCTCCTTTATATGCTATTTTGTTAATGTGCTAAAAGAATTACTGTAAAGTAGATAAACCTGACTTGCACTGCTCTGCAATTCTATACCATAGTTGAACTGGTGGCGGGGCATTGAGCACTAGACTAGTTCTGAGAGAGGGCAAGCAAGGCATATGTGTGGTTTTAAAAACCAACCAACACCTTTGAAAATCATTGCCTACGCTAACTAAAGCTTTGCACACAGGAAGAAGAAGAAGCAGAAGAAGAATCCACTTGCAAGACACAGACAAGTTACTGGCTTCAAGACTGTGTGTTATCCTTGTCACCAGCAAATGATCTGATGGTAATAGCTCGTGAGCAGAAAGCTGTCTTTTTAGTGCGTAAGTATGTAATGCACATTTTTTACTTATGGCCCAGTACTTCAATTAGTGAACAATTGCAGTTCTTATCATAAATCCCTATTTTCAGGGATTTTAGTATGGTGGACTATTTTATGTAATATATGTGATGTATTAACTAGGCACAAGCAGATATGGCAAATCTGAAGTTTTAGCCTTCTCAGGTCCTTTGTTTTTTGTAGGTCTGAGTCATTTTAACAGGCATAATTTGATAATATATATACCATAACTAGCTTGTTATCTCTAGTTTTGCTTGCAGATTTACAATTAATTATGCTTTCTGGACAAAAATCTCTGGGCTGTATTAATTTTGTTAAATTTGTTTTTTATGTTAGTGTTAATTTTTATGTTTTCTTGTGTTAAAGCTTTATCTCTGAGAAAAATTGAGCTAAACTGACCTGAATACTTGGTGGTGTTTTAAAGACTTTTTGCTTTGACTTAAAAACTATGTCCATGCAGCAGAATGTGTATCGTTGTCAGTATGTTGGGATAATAACTTGTAACTAAATGCTGCAGAAACTGAGATTTCTGAAACTGGAATGATTGCATTTTCTTAAAGTCATCAGCCCATATTCGTTGTTCCCTGCAGAATCATGCATGTCAAAAACTGATTAGCTACTAATTTCACATAGTTAATGGGAAGGACAGAAATGCACAATGCCTGTAAGAACACCTTCCAGCTAATTGAAGTTTAACAGAGCTCCTACTGGTTCATACATAAGGAAGTTCTCCTTTAGCTCACCTGGTGGATAGATAGCAGTTGCCTCTGAACCATTGGGTGGTAATTGTTCTAGTTTGTCAGTTTTTAGGTGGCATATAAATAGCACATGATGTATTGTATCAAATGCTGTGATTTTTACTCTCGGCTAACTATTTGGAAAACATTTCTACTTGTAAAAACAATCTAATGTTAGAAAATAATGAAGTATTTCGTGATTTCCACTGTTACTATGAAGTGACTAAAGGAATTATGAAAATCAAATGTTTAGAACTAGTGTAGATTTGTCCACTTTCCTCTGTGTTAACTCAGACTCTGGGGTTTTAATTTCATGGTGGATAACCATACCAGGTAATAGTATTTTGTACTTTCATTGCACCTTTCATCTGAGGAGCTCACTGTTTGAAGTAAGCCTTATAGCGCCAGTGAAATAGGTTGATGTTTTCATTTTTTAAAATATAAATTAGTCAGTTGAGGAGCATGGAGAGCGGTTACATGATGTGCACAAGGTCTCACTACGTGGCAGAAGTGAGAAAAGAATCCATGAGTTGTGTTTCCCAGTCCCCTCCTCAGATCAGTAAAACATACTTCCTTCCTATGGTGAGAGGTTTTTTAAACTGGTTACTGACCTAGATGTGTTATATTGAGGAATATTAGGAATAGAACTATATTACTTTTGCAAAATAACCTTTTAATATCTTATTCTTTATGGACAATGCCTTTTTTTAATGTCAGCAAAATGGAAATATAGCGACAAGGGAAAGGAGGAAATGCAATATGCTGTTGGTTGGAGTGGCTCTCTGAATGTTGAAGAAGGGTAGGTATTGAATTCTTAGTTTATCTGATTAAATGTAACTTTTTAAACTATTACTAATTAGTCTGCTCTTCTTATCTTAAATGTACTTTGCGAATAGTTTGGAGAAAGGAAACTGACTAAATGATTTTAATCGCTGTTGATTGTTTATACATTCCAACTTTAAGAATTCTGGGCTGGAGTAAGTTACATGGCTAAAAATAGTGCCCGAATGCAAAGCAACTACTTGTTATTGGGAGTGAGATTCCTGGATGTGATTATATGCAAATTAGTGGGTGTACATATAATTATAATAAAAATAATTGTTCACAGATCTGGACTGTCACGAAACCGTTGTAATTCCTTAACCTAGCAAGACAATAAAACTGAACATCTACTGAGTAGAATTGAATTTTTCTTTGGGGTGTGGGAGAAACTTCTTTATCCTGATGTGTTGCAGTGATGTGCAGACCGAAGTAGTCTGTAAGGATCCCCTCCCCATATTCATACCATCACATCAATACTTAAAACACTCCAAGTTACAGGCATAGAGCATCACTCATATGATGCAAAGCCCTTCTTCCCCCAAGATGCTGTGGACATGTTGCGTTTGTTGCCCTCCTAATTCTGATCTTGAAGGTCCGTGGTAAGTGGTCTTAGTGCCTAAGCTACTTTTGAAAATGAGATTTGGGCTCCTAAGTGATTTTGGTGCCTTTGAAAATTTTACTTCAAGCCTAGCTTTTGGCTTTGGCTTCCATATATATCTTGGCTTTGGTTTCAATTAGTCACCCTAACCAAACTAGCCCAAGAGAATACAGAATTTCTTCATGCTTTTTCTTCTGCTGCCAAGAAATATTTCAGTTTCCCCCTTTCCTCACATAGCTCAGGTATTTTAGTAAACCATCTTAGGTTTACCTTCTTGAGTTGCTATTTCCCCCTCAATGCTCTTTCTAGGGACTAGTCTACACTACCCACCTGGATTGGTGGGTAGAAATGGATCTCTCAGGGATCGATTTATCGCGTCTCATCTAGACGAATAAATCGATTCCTGATCGACACGCGTACTCCCACCTCGTCAGGAGGAGTAAGCGCCGTCGACGGGGGAACCGCGGCGGTTGATTTGCCGCCGTCCTCACAGCGGGGTAAGTCAAATAGGATACGTCGAATTCAGCTACGCTATTCGTGTAGCTGAATTTGAGTATCTTAAATCGATTTTCCCCCCACACCCCCCCAGTGTAGACCTAGCCTAACACCTGCAGCTGTGTGTCACAGTAAAGTCTGGTATACACTGGGGGAGGGAGGGGAATCGATCCAAGATACGCAACTTCAGCTACGAGAATGGCTGAAGTCGACATATCTTAGATCGACTTAGAATTACTTACTTTGCGTCCTTGTGGCGCGGGATCGACGGCCGCAGCTCCCGTCAACTTTGCTTCCGCCTCTTGCCAAGCTGGAGTTCAGCAGTCGACGGGAGAGCGATCGGGATCGATTTATCGCGTCTACACTACATGTGATAAATAGATCCCCGATAGATCGATCGCTACCCGCCGATCCGACAGGTAGTATAGACGTACCCTAAGAGTATGTGCAGTAATGTGGTTAAACAGGGAGCTGGAGATGTTGATTTTTATCAACCCATGTGAAATTTTGGGTAGGAGGCATGAACCTTGTTTAAAAACTCGCTACTCCCATATATCTGAGCTGAGTTATCTTTGATAAATATCACAATATGCATCTGGCTTTTCTTTGTTTCCTTCTCACTATTCAAATAACATGGCCTGTTTCACAGAGGCTATTCCTTTTTACATTAGTAGAATCCCTTTCAGTATGTGAGAGTCCCTGGAGGGAGGTATTTTAGATGAGGTGTGATCACTACCTTTATTGCTCCAGTTAAGGGTTTGCAGGTGTTTCAAATAGAAGGGACTTCAAATTCTATAGCAGTGTAACCTAGCTCTCTTATTGCAGCTACACATAGTGCTTAAAGACTGACACACCCCAATATTTTCCTCAACTGGCAATACTCTCTGGTCACTAAGCTTTGCTTTTATATATGTGGTTTCACTCAATTCCTTAATCTTATAAGATTTAATTAATTTACAACTAATGTCAAACTTGTATTTAGAATATCTTCAGCTTTTTTTAATTGCCAGCATTAGTCACTTTCTTGTTCTTATGGGAATAGAGCTGACGTGTTATGCCTGCAGAAACTGTTGTTTCAGATGAAATTTACACTTCGAATGTCATTGGAAATGTCACTTAGGGCTGATATGCTATCTGTTTCATAGAACCTTTTTTCATAGATTCAAGGACTGGAAGGGACCTCGAGAGGTCATCGAGTCCAGTCCCCTGCCCTCATGGCAGGACCAAATACTGTTTAGACATTTATCTAACCTACTCTTAAATATCTCCAGAGATGGAGATTCCACAACCTCCCTAGGCAATTTATTCCAGTGTTTAACCACCCTGACAGTTTGGACATTAGGAAAAAGTTCCTGCCTAAACCTCCCTTGCTGCAGTTTAAGCCCATTGCTTCTTGTTCTATCCTTAGAGGCTAAGGTGAACGAGTTTTCTCCCTCCTCCTTATGACACCCTTTTAGATACCTGAAAACTGCTATCATGTCCCCTCTCAGGCTTCTCTTTTCCAAACTAAACAAACCCAATTCTTTCAGCCTTCCTGCATAGGTCATGTTCTCAAGACCTTTAATCATTCTTGTTGCTCCTCTCTGGACCCTCTCCAATTTCTCCACATCTTTCTTGACATGCGGTGCCCAGAACTGGTCACAATACTCCAGCTGAGGCCTAACCAGAGCAGAGTAGAGCGGAAGAATGACTTCTCGTGTCTTGCTCACAACACACCTGTTAATACATCCCAGAATCACGTTTGCTTTTTTTGCAACAGCATCACACTGTTGACTCATATTTAGCTTGTGGTCCACTGTTACCCCTAGATCCCTTTCTGCTGTACTCCTTCCTAGACAGTCTCTTCCCATTCTGTATGTGTGAAACTGATTTTTCCTTCCTAAATGGAGCACTTTGCATTTGTCTTTGTTAAACTTCATCCTGTTTACCTCAGACCATTTCTCCAATTTGTCCAGATCATTTTGAATTATGACCCTGTCCTCCAAAGCAGTTGCAATCTCTCCCAGTTTGGTATCATCCGCAAACTTAATAAGCGTACTTTCTATGCCACTATCTAAGTCGTTAATGAAGATATTGAACAGAGTCGGTCCCAAAACAGACCTCTGCTGAACCCCAGTCGTTATGCCTTTCCAACAGGATTGGGAACCATTAATAACAACTCTCTGAGTACAGTTATCCAGCCAGTTATGCACCCACCTTATAGTAGCCCCATCTAAATTGTATTTGCCTAGTTTGTCGATAAGAATATCATGCGAGACCATGTCAAATGTCTTTACTAAAGTCTAAGTATACCACATCCACAGCTTCTCCCTTATCCACAAGACTCGTTATCCTATTAAAGAAAGC